AAATACTGACTTATGATGAATTCATCACAGACTGAGAAGTACCAAATTTATGGTAATGATCTCTGAGTGCATATTGATGTGTCATTAGTTACGATAAACAAAAATGGTTTTTATCTGTTGGTGGGGTACTGTATTTGCTCAGCAATATTTGACACTTAAGTACTGTAATTTTCATTAGTTAATCAAATGAAAATACCCAGCTTGTGTTAATGAAAGCATAGTATGCAGTAGTATTATTCTTAAAGTGTCTACCATAAATGTAGCTGTTTAAAACAAGTAGTTTAAGAAATAAGGAAGGTGTTACTGTAGCAGGAATTTAATTTTCTGTGAATATCGTAGTATCCCAAAAACATAAACGTCTTCTCTGAAGACGTTAATTAAATTTTGAAACACTGGACCTTTTCTACATTCAAGGGCTCAGAAGTGGATGTAACCTTGGAGCTGATACTCACTCCACACCCTAAACTTATAACTCCTGTCACCGACCTTTGATTTATAGGATTCTGAGTGGTTTTTGGAGATGTTTTATAGGGAAAAATATGTCTTATAAGCAGCAAAATATGGTACTGCGAAAATGGAATAAGTTCCTTTATTTTTTCAAGATAAACATCTGGCTTTTTATTTATTTTAAATATCTGGGGAAGGGTTTTAACAAAGGATGGAAAGTGTTACACAGAAATACAAAGGTGCATTGGGATAATCAAAAAGATTCTTTCCCAAAGCTAAGCAAATTATTAAGAAACAGAAAAATTTTGTTAGAAATAAAAAAAGAAAGAGTACTGAACTGTTATGTAATGTCAGTCCTCCTATATAGCTGTAAATGCTGGGCAGTCTACTCTCACATGAAGAAGAGACTTGAATTAGCAGAAATGTGGTTCTACAGAAGGATGCTGAAAATACCATAGACTGAACATGTGAGCAACAACAAAGTTTTATAGAAAATAGAAACAAAAAGGATACTTATGCATAACATCAGAAAGACAGTTGAAATTTCTAAAGCACATAATGAGGAAAGAGGGACAGATGAAATCAGCATATAACTTACCGAACGAGCTTGTGTATATGGATGGCACAACAGGGTTTAGGAGACATAGAAAAAAGACAAAATTTACTAAGAGCTACAAAGGACAGGAAATTGTGGAGGGATATGTTACATGGAAGAAGAGTTTATTCTTTACATTTCCTTCTTTAGGCTTCTAAGTACTTGGTAACATATAAGTTCTAAGACAAATTACATGACTTTTTTTAATTGATAGCTTGTAAAATCCTTATCAAGAGGCATAATGACATACATTTGTATGGGTGTATAGGAAGATATTTTACATGTGGCACAGAAGGAATTTGCTCAGAAAATAACTAGATTTACTCTGAAAATGTACAATTTGTGTACCCAGAAGGGGCACTTACTAGACCCCCCACCTCCATGCACCTATGTTTGTGGCACATGTTCAACAATCTTCCCCCTTTAGATAAGATACATCAGTAGTGCAGGATGGTGTAGTCCTCTTATTGAAATAAAGATTAAAGAGGTTATTTTGAATTTGTGGCTAGCTTTTTATTTTATAAATCTCAAAATATGTCTCATTACAAAATAGTGTTGATGACATTCACAAAAAAAACAACCTTTGCATTAAATTTAATTAAAAGGCAAATTTAGAGAAAATTGTATGAAAATTGTTTGTATACAATAAACAGAAAAATATCAGTGTTTGAAATTGATTTTATAATTGTTAAAAATAGAACAAAAATCAATTGGGGAAAATTTGAATATGATACCCCCTACTCTGTGTTTTCATGACTATATTCACTCATCCGTTAATTCTCAAGTGTGCTTTCAAGTTTTCTGTTTAAATGTTTTTAATGAGCAGTGACTGGTGGACTATTTATGTAATGTCTAGTCTGTTATATGACAATGAATGCTAGAAAATTTCATCACAGTAAAATATATATATATATATATATATATATATATATATATATATATATATATATATAATCTTGAAGAGTAATTGAGATGTGGTTGAAATGATGAAAATAATATGGATATCTTGGTATATGAGAAATGAAGACGTTTTAAGGAGAATAGGAACTATAATGAAATATGAGGAAAGAAGGCTTGGAGAATCTCCCACAGGCCACATAAAAGGCAAGAGAAGCAAAAGTTGGCAGCAAGTAACCAACTTAATAAATTTGTACAAAATGGATGAACAAATATCACAAAACCAAAGAGGAGTCATAAAGGTTCAAGTATTGTCAAAAGGAAGACATGGAGAGAAATGATTGTCTATGTCCTCAAGTGATCTATTATATATAGAATGATCAGCAACTGTTGTTTTCTTGACTGGAGATGAGATAGTGTTATCATTCAAAGATTTCTCTCTCTTTTTTGATTTTGTTTTTTATGACATATCAACCTTTTATAGGTTATTCAAAGCTAGAGAACATTTTCAAATTGCAATAATTTTTTTGAGAAAATAATGATTTAATAATACATACTAATTAACACATAGCTGGGGATAGAAAAGGTGGATTCATGCCTTTCCAAAGAGTATATGTGTGTTAGTGAATATAACAAACCTGATGGAATTGGAAATTTGCTTTCTGACTTCCAATTCCAAGCCATTATCAGTTACACCTGCACATCCATGCTTACAGCACTTGGTATTTTCAAGCAGTCACCCATCTAGGTACTAACCAGGCTTGACATTGCTTATTCTTTTTTTTTCTTCTTTAAACTTAAATGCTAGCACCATACCAAATAGGTTTGAATTCAAAATTGCCCCCCCCCCCATCAAGAATAGCTACCACCCAAGGCTAGAGAGTCCAGTCTGTCTTGCTGTCCAACTCATAGTTGGAGGGTAGGAAGATATGGATTCATGCCTTTCTCAAGGGCATTAGTGCAAAATGCTCTGGACAAAGCCAAAATTTGAATGCTGTTTGCTAGTTTCATTTTCCTTATTGATAACCATTATAATGTCCCTTAAATTCATGTGATAATAAGTATAAGTAAAAAAGAAAATAGTCTTTCAAGCAGAGATTCATTTTTCAGTCAACCCTTGATATTTGAAACCTATCAAGTTCTTAGTCACTATTATTTAAGTTATTGCTCAGTAATTTTCATGGTAGTTTGTCTTGTATGAACCTGGAGAATCTAAGAGGCCATGGAGTGAGGTGCTCAGTATCATTGCATTCAAAAGCCTTTAAATAGAAGAATCTGTTCAGACCAGGGTGGAGGATGTATTGTCAGTGGTAGTATCTTTTGCAGAAAAGCAGTCGACCCTGCTTTACCCAGGTGAATTGGGATGTGGAATTTTACTGATCCACTGCCTACAACTCTAACACATGGATCCAAGAAGTCGTGTGGGCACTGCTTTGGGCATACCTTGGTCAACAGCATTGACCTGCTGGCTAAACTGTGTGAGGAAAAACTGACTGGTGAAGAGGAACACCTCTCCCCAACCCACCTGTGCCAAGCAGCCTTCAGTCAGTTGCCAGCCTGGGTGTAGGAGCTGCGCCAGTGGGCGGAGGAACTTCTGAGAGGAAGGATGTGGTAACCTTAACATCCCCAGTGTAAAAGGAACCAGCAAGCTATTGCATTATTTTGCCTTAAATGTCACCATGAAAAAAGGTGTAAAAGCAGTAACTGAATAAATGGTGATGTTGAGACCTGATACATTCAAATGCTGGTGATTACTATGTTTTAGTGATCTGTCTATATTTCTGAGATGAGGTATTGTAATTATTTACATTGTTTAGAGTGTTGTCCTTGCCTTTATTGCCATATTCACAACATTTCAACTGTTGTACACTCTGGCCAGCTTCAGGTGATTGGAATTTGTGTCAAGTCACTGGATTCAACCAACGCTTTTATCCACTGGGCCATGTGTCCTGAAGACATCAGTGTATGAATTTTTGGGACTTATAAACTTAATGTCTCAGTAGTATTTTTTTTCCCAGACTTTTTGTTGTTATTGATTTTCTCTAGCACTTTCTATTATTGGTTCCTATATTGTATTCATTTCTATGCTTGGTCAGCTCAGGAGATTTTTATGGCCTAGCATATGTACTGATTTCTTAAGTTTTTGTATTTTCCTGTGATGTTCTCTGTCTATTATTCCAACCTCTTCCCACAGGTGGCAGAGATCTCCCTTTTCTCTCCATATGTGGTCAGCTATGCTTGATTTTTTTTTTTTTTTTTTTTTACCCTCGATACCTGGCTACTACAGTCGTGAACAGAATTTGGAGAGTTTAGTTAAAGAGACACCTGGAAGAGGCATGGCACGTGGAACTAGAAGAATCTATCCCGGTGGATAAAATAAAGGGTTCAGTTTGAAATTATAACCACCTGAGCATGCAATGGCTGAAACATTGAATATAGCAATAAAAATGAGGACAACAGTCTGAACAATATAAATAATATTTTAGTGAGTTAAACAAAATGGTTCTTCCTCCTGAACCTGATATGAAATGACTTTGTCAGTAATTTTAAAGTGATTATTCCAAAAGAAATGGTCAAGTCAGCTACTTGCAATCCTGGCCTTTCTGTAAACCTCCGAATGTCTCCTTTTATTAAACTGTTTATTTTTTCTTTTCTGTTTTCTTTTTCTATTTTTCATTTTTTTCTTCTGTTTTTTTTTTTCTCTTTCTCTCCCTCTCTTTTTTCATAATTTCTTGGTAAAGATAGTGAAGTGGTTTCTGGCTGCTTTCTCCATGGTTTTAAATACTCCTCCTCTTAGACTGGTTGCCATCAAAGCAAAAGAGTCTACCCTGCTATTTAACCCATAGCTGGGAAGAGGAGAAATACATTCATGCCTTTCCCAAGGACATTAGTGCAAAAGTGAGTGCACTAATGGCGAGATTGGAACTTGAACTCACATCACTGATTCCACTTTGCATCCTGATAACCATTACAGTACCTACCCATCTATTTTAAATTTTATTGAAAAAAAATGAATTAAAAGAATTGTATTTTTTTTTATTTTTTTTCCCCACTTTTCCAGGTGCTCAGATTGCAACTAGTACTCTCCAAAGCCATGCTAATGATATTCGTGCAAACAGAGTCAATTGGCAGTCCTACCTGCAGTAAGTACACATTTTGTAATATTACTATTTGATATCTAATCATTTGAGCTAATTGGCTACATAATTATTTATACTCGGTTTTACATTGTAAGTTTTAATTTTTTTTTTTATATATTTTTTTTTTGGTTTATCAATCTTTTTATAGATTTTTTTAAAACCAGAGAATATTTTAGATTGTTTGAGATAATAATGATTTTTACTGATACAAGTTCTACTAATTAACCCATAGTTGAGGAGAGAAGAGGTGGATTCCTACCTTTCCCCAAAGGTATTTGTGCCTAAGTGAATATAACAGTCAACTAGAATTTGGACTTGGCTCTTTGTTTTCTGTAAGCATTGCCTCAGCTTATGCTTTGTATTATGTAATTCATGTGAAATAGGAAGTCATATAAGATTGTCTGCAAAGTAGATGCAGATTTTCTTTGCCTAGCTTAGATGTGGCACAAGGTAGAAAGTATAGAGGTATCCAGTGAGGATCAAATTCATATTTAATTGTAATTAAAACCTTTTAATATTAGTAAAGACTTAGCAAAATAAGCTGTCATTTTTGACAACATGAGTAAACTCATATTAATATAAGATTCTACTGGACATGAAGTGAGGAATTGGTTTTCTATTGTTACTAAGCAATAAACTGCCCCCCCCCAATGAATTACAATATAATAATTGATGCTATGGTAAGCATAGCATGCATGCGACACAAGGCCCAATGTATGGGAATCCCAGTAAGGATTGAACTCTCTATTCAGTTGTAATTGATCTAGCAAGACAAGCTTGCTAACCATTATGCCATGTCAAAGTGCCCAACTAGATGCAGTAGATGTTCGTGCATCTAATGTAGACAAACTATTGTTTTGTTTAAACAATTTCTTAGTGGTACGGATCTTAATGTTTTTATTTCTATTTTATTGCCTAAACTTTTAAATTTATCAATGATTCTCTTTGATTGAAAAGCTGGTCACTTAAGAGGATTTGTACCTCCTTTTTCATTTTCAACTATAATTTTCAATATCTCTCCACTTCTTGAGGCTGTATTTGTGTTATTTTGTTCATCATTTAATTGCTTGGGAGTTTCTATTGCTGGATGTACAATGAACATAGCCTTGTCATAGTAAGATATGCCCAGCAAATAATTGTATATATTAAATATAAAAGTTTTCAATATTTATTTGCAGAGCAGTAAACATTTCTTAAAAAAAAAAAAATTGTTTTCCATTGCTTGTAGTGAAAAGTGCAATGAATGCTAGTGATGTACTAAATAAAAGTTCATTATTTTTTCTCTAGTTTGATGCTTGACAAAAATGGTACATATTGATTTTTATCCTTTTTTTTTCTCTTTCAAGGGGTCAGATGATATCGCAGGAGGACTATTTATTTGTATCCAAGTTTGACCAAGCAAATATGGATGTGAAGAAGAGAATGTTGCAAGAGAATCCATTGCAGGTAAGTGGCAATCCCCCTTTTGGGGGAGCTGAAAATAAGCTGATTGCATTCTCTAGAGAGGGTATAAGATGACACTTGCCCAAAAGGGGCCACATTGCAAGTGGATACTTGCAGACTTTGATATAAACTGCCTCCATGTTTATCTTTTTGGCCCTGGTGTAAATCTGACATTTAACCCTGCTGATTTTTGTCCTATGAGCCTTGTATTTGGCATTAACTAATCCAGTGTTTCTCAAAAGGTGTGTGCACCTAATAGGTGCAGCAGAAGAGGATAGCAGGTGAGGCAGAATGATTGAAAGACAATCAAAGATTTGGAAACAGTTTCAAAAAATTCATATGCCAAAAATAAATATGATTTCAAAATTTAATATATTATGGATTACTTGTAATTGCATGCATGAGTTTCAGTATTAAATAGTAATAAATACTTATTGACCAATTTTATCATTGTGATGTTTTTGCATTATGTCGCGTATTAAGAATATAGTAACTAGGTTCTGCAAATTGGAGGAGAGTGATTAATGATAATATTCCGACTTCGAATCCGCAGTTATCTCCCTTTAACTCTTTCTGTTTTATTATTAAATGTACTTTTTATCACAAAATTTGGTGAGGCACAAGCAAATTTTAATTCAGAAAATGCGGCCCAGAGAAAAAATTTGGGAAACCACTGTACTAACCCAACAATTGTATCATTAAACTTTCTAATTTATCCTAACTAAATATGAAGTCACTTATTTTTTTGAAAGGATTAAGTTATATTAGGATTTTTTTGTTGTGAAGAAAGAGGTGTGAGAGGAAACATTTTGGTAAATGAGTTTTTCTATCAATCATTAACTTTGCCAGGAGCAGCTTGGCTGTTGTTTTCTAAAAACTGCAATGACTGCAAATTCCTGTTAATGGATTAATGTTGTTTTCCATCTTACACTACTTATTTGTTGCCAAGGTTATTGGTGTAAAAAAAAAAAAAAATTCAATTGAAAAGCTATTGCATGTTAAATGCCCTTATGAGTCTGCAAATAGCTTTGTCATTTTTTTTTTTTTTTTTTTTTTTTTTAAATTTCTAAGTTTAGAGAGGGAGGATATACAGATACATTTTTAAAAATTTAATACTGAATGGCTTCCTAAAAAATTTTTTTTTTCATTTATTTTTTTTTTTAATTTTTAAATATTTGAAACAAAATCTGGCTTTTGTTTTGGGAGTGAAAAACATTTATTAAAACTATCCTTTAATTTCACATAAAAATCTGCACCAATATGAATAAATTTGAAAGAGGACGGCCTAAAATGATTTCAATTGTAAAGTGCCATGTCAATAGATCTATCATTGATGACAGCAAAAGATGGCGGAAATCTTGCACAAGATTTTAACAAGAAAAAATAATAAAATTAATTTTTTTTATGGTTTTATTAAGATTTTAAATAAAAACATTATAATACATTGTATTGTAATAATAAAAATAATGTAATAATACAATGTAGTAACATCTGTGTCCAAGCACAGGTTTCTATGCAATGTAATGATACAATACAATACAAATTTTATGAAATTAATAAATTTACATGTATCAATATTAAAACATTATGGATATTAAAGTAAATCCCATTGAGTAAATATGTGAAATTTTAAAGTTACTATAAAGGTTGTAAGCTGCATATTTCACACTCAAAATGTCTGCAAAGTGCTAATCCAAACCACTACACAATCATGAGAGTGAAATGCCAAAGCCTAAACAATAATAAATGCTTGGGAAAATATGGATATACTGAAGGTATTAAAACTCAATTTAATGAATTTATTAAAATAAAAGATTATACAGAAAAAATCGGACTTTAAAAGTGTCACAATCAAGTTTGAATTTGTTTCAAATTGGAATCCACTGATTATGATTTTAATATGAACATGACAGAAAATTTTGGGTTCCATCATGTATGCGTGGCTGAAGTGACATTGTAGTTTATTGGTGTGCAGCTTAATGGCACTGACCTGTATGTTGTTGGTCCTTAATAATTCTTTCTTTAATAATGACTTTCTTCCTGCAACTTGGTGGATCATCTCTTCTATGTTTTTCTTATGGTGTTTCAAAAGCAAAGTCAAAATAGAAACTGTTCTTCTACATCCATACTTTTCTATTTTCAATTGAGTTTTCAGTTTTATGGAAATTGTGTTTGTGTAAATATATATATATATATATATATATATATAATATGTGTGTGTGTATATTTCTCTTAATATACCAGCAACTTAACTATAGAGCCTGATAAAGAAGCAATAGCAGTATGAAGATTGTCTGAGATGTGAAACTGACAGTTACCACGCAGTGTTGATTTCTGTGTTCACACTGTTTTTATCTATAAATGTAATATCTCTGATATTGAGCATGCTTTACCCATCAATATAACATTTTAAACAAGGTATACATCTCTCTCTCTCTCTCTCATACACTTGCGTGTATATATATATATATATATATATATATAAAGAGAAAGAACAGACAGATTAAGAATCTACAGTTCTTAGCATTTACTTTTTTTTTTTTTTTTTTTTTTAAAGTGTTCAATACAATGTAGATCAAAATATTATTATATTTTACATCTCTACACAAAAATTTCCATGTTTCAGAACTTTAAAATTGTCTCTCATCAGGCAACGTTAAATAACTTATGATGAAAGTGATTTACTTGGGAAAGCAGAAAACAATACAGAAGGTCATTTGAAAGTTAAAAAGGAACGGGGGAATACCAAAATTCCAAGTTTTTTTTAATTTGGGAATTTTGATTTTCCCCCTACCTTTTTTAACTTTCAAATGAGGTACTGAATTGTTTTCTGACTTCGCAAGTAAATCATTTTCATCATAATTTATCTGACATCACCTAATGAGGGACAATTTTAAAGTTCTAAAACATGGAAATTTTTTGTGTAGCAATGTAAAATAATATATATATATATATATATATATATATATATATATATATATATATATATGTGTGTGTGTGTGTGCATAGTAGGTCCTTAATGTAGTTTTATCAAACATTTCAATATAATGCTGATGTGAAAAAATAAATAAAAAAAAACAGTAAAAAATGTAAAGTGCATTTACTAGAAATGAAAGTTAAAGCGGTACTTGATGTGCACTTGTACTATGCATCAGGAAAAAACTGTTCGGTAATCAACCTCATTGACTTGCACATAACAGACTTGATACCCTGGGCCATTTCAGCAACCACATCAGTCCTTATGATGTCTGATGACTGCTTTCAATGTTTCTTTTCTCTTAGCCACAGATGACCCATTCTCACCATTTTCTGGCCTTGAACATTAAGACCTGGAACACTATCACTTTTTTTCCTTTTGTTATCTGTCTCAGATTGGAAGATTCTATATTAATGCTCTTGATGTATCTGGAAGAGAAATGAGAATTTAAAAATTGGTGCATGCTGTTTAACTTAAAACATAAATCTTCTTCTATTTATGTTGCACAAAATTGTGTTCTCAAAATATCTGATGCATATTGTATTCACATGCTAATTGTCATGTCTATTTTATTTGATTTCAGTTTGCCAAGACTTTTATAAATTTGATGAATCACATTGCAAAAGACCAAACATTGCAGTATGTGTTGACTGTTGTAGATGATGTCCTCAAGGTGAGTCTATCTATTCAAGTGACCTTTTGTCAAACTTATGTTGAAACACAAAGTAATGTAGTGAGTCCCAATTAAAAATAAAATTATATAAATATATAAACAAAAATGAAAAAAATAAAAACAAGGCATTTGTGCTTTGATCTCTTTCTTTCTCTCTCTAAACTTCTCTTTCTATACTTCTCTCAGCCTACTAGAAGGTAACCCTCAAATAAAAAGTAAAAAAAAGAAGAAAAGACTGAACCTGGCCAAAAAACAGTAAGTTTGCAGGAGCAGAACTTACTTATTTGTGACTGAAAAATACCAAAAGTGAAGGAGGCTCCATGCATAACTTCTATTATAAAAAGAAAGGAATGTAGGAAAATAAAATAATTTGGCCAGTCAGAAAAATTGACACAAAGAGACTTTTTGATGTCTGTGCCAAATTCTCAAGCCTATTCAAAAAATATAAAAATGTGACACCGCTAGGCCAGGGCAAAGGGGAGACCAGAATGATCCCAGGATAGATGAAACAAAATAATGCAGCCATATGTAACATGTGAAGAAACTGTTCAGAGGCCATCTGCTACTTAAATTTCTGCTCTGTTCAGGGCTGAGAGAAAACACAGCAGAGTGACATCTGACCTAATTTCTGAAATTACTACTACCCCTATCATGGTCTGACTTCCAACTACTGAAATAGACATTTCTTCAGACTGCTATCAGTATCTGCTTTATTAAACTCTTTATCATGGTTGAATACAAATGGACTCATTCATCGCTCTAAAAAAATGAATACATATATTATTTATTTTTAACCCTTGAGTCAGTTGATTTTATTTCCTAAGTTTCTGATAAAAGAATTATTCTATACTTATCCAAATGGGCAACATTCATTATATGAACCCATGTGCCACAGTAACAATAATCGATTATTATTCTACAGTTTCCAGTGGCATTTGAAAAGATCATTAATTTTTGCTGCAAATAGAATGTCACAAAAATAAATTGATCTTTAAACATAATGCCTTAAATCATAAAAGTAATGGCAAACATGGACCTTAGTGCCCAGAAAAAAAAACTGAGTATAGAAAGGACAGTTTTTCCCATGATGCTGCTTTTATTTTAACTACCTTCACTCTTCGGCTATTTTTATTTTATTTTTTTTTTTTTTTAAAAAGTGATGATTAGAATTGTAAGAAAACCTAAACATGATGAAAGTGAATTTATACACATTTTTTTTGTTCTTGAGAATTGAAACAACAAAATTATTAAACCCTATTTATTTATTAGATTGTTTATTTCCAAGAATAATTTTATATTTACATATTTGAAAAACTAATACAATTAAAACTAATGCAATGCAATATTTATCATTTACCTATTTATAAAGAAATAAATAAATATGAAAACATTTTTTTATTCATAAATTTATAAGCATTTAGTAAATTATTAAAATATGTGAGCCAACTATAAGGAAATCCTTTTTATTTAGCATGTTACAAAGTTTGAATCAATCGGCAATTAACCAACCATTCCACTAAACAATATAATAAATAGTGTTTATTATTTTTGTTATCAATTCTCAAGAACAAAGAAAATGTATAAATTCCTTTTCATATGTTTAGGTTTTATTGCATTTCTAATCATAGATTTTGTAAAACAATAGTGAAGGGGAGTTAAAATAAAAGTGGTATTATGGAAAAATCCATCTTTTTGACATTCCATTTTTTTTGGCAAGCATGAAAGTCCATGTTTGCTAAAATAATTTGTTAAATGATTTTTGTTTTACTTTTCATTAATTTTTTACTTGCCAAGAGACAATTTTGCTTCATTTTTGTCATACATTTTTCTTTCTTTTAAATTGATGTTTTAAATGTCTTGCTGTATAATTTGATAAAATCACTGAAGAATTTGTATTTAACTTTATTTATTTTTCATTTTTAGGAAGACAAGTCTTATGTGGAAATTTTCCGTGATTATGCCCGCAAAAATAGAGAATCGGTCTGGACACCATTCCTTCACCTTTTGAATAGAAGTGATAGATTTATTGTCAGTCAGGTGAAGAGACCATTTTCTTTATTTTTATTTAATGTTTTTAAATTGTTAGCAAGTTGTACCTAAAATTTACAGTAACAGCAATTACCATATTTTCTTGTGTATAATATGACTTTGTTTCTGAAGCTAAAAACTGGGCATAAATTACATACTTGTATATAATATGATGCCTGTAGTACAGCCATCCTTATGTAATTTCTTATTTTAAAGATTATACCATATTATCCATTAATGTTTAACTTTTCACAATATTGAAGAATAGAAATGAACTGGATGTTTAATCATTGCGTGTTTCTCCTAATTTCTGTTTCAAAACATATTTTCAAAGAAAAGTGCTAACTATACATACCTGGTAATACATTTTAAGGTGTTAATTTATCATACTTTTTTGTTTGATTTGATTTCATTATTTCTGTATATAAATTATGTACATAAACTAGGAAAAAAAAAAAAAAAATTGTCTTTCATTTAAGAAGAGAAAAACTTTATAAAAATATCAAGAAAATCAAAATGATAAACAAACTTTATCTTGTGAGCAAAACTGAGTGTCTTTGTAATCTTGCTGTTTCAAATAACACTTTTTTTTTTTTTTTTTAAGATTTGCAGATTATTTAAAGCCAAAAATATTTTTAGCTTGAAAGAATTTGGGGGTGGAGATAATAATGATTTATTGATACAAGTTTTATTAAGTAACCCATAGCTGGGGGAGGGGGACTATTTGTATGTAAGTGAATATTACAAACCCAAATCAAATTTAAGCTTGGCTCTCAGATTCCTAATTCTGTGCAGTTATTTATTACTCCACCTTCACATCCAAGCTTATAGCACCCTTAATTAGTTTACCTGGGCCATCAAAAAATGATGGCAGTAAGAAATTTTGTTGTATAATAGAATGTTATAATTCACAACATTGTCTTGTTCAATATTTCTTTAATATCACAACATTGTCTTGTTCATGTTCAATATTTCTTTAATATCAAACTAAGATCTCAAACTATTTCAAATTTTTACTGTTAATTACTTATAATTAAAGTTTACTTGTACATACAAAGTTTGAACAAACTTATCTGGTTTTACTTCAATGTTTTAAAAAAAAAAAAGATTCCCTGTGACAATTCTGAATAATTTATGCAAATTTATTTTTTTTTTTTTTTTTTTTTTTTTTCTTAAATCTTCAATTGTACCATTTTCAGACAAGTCGTATCATTGCAAAAATTGCTTGCTGGGGCAAAGAACCAATGGATAGAAATGATCTTGAGTTTTATCTCAATTGGCTCAAGGATCAACTCAAACTGCCTGTAAGTAATTATTTTTTTTTTTAATTTTTTTCATTGACTATCAAGATAATTGTTGAATATTCTTTCTGAGCTTTAATTTTTCATGTTGTCTATTATTTTCTTTATCATTTGCAACATGTAACCTAGTACAACCTACCACATAAATGGGCAGGTAGTTGGCATCTAAACCAGCTCCCCTAGTACCTTTTCTGCTGGTGAAGAGGGTGACATTTTACTCTGCAGTGAATAAAAGTACATAAAAACAATGTATCTCACTTTTCCTTTGTTTAGTTAGACAATGTTCATCAAAATATTTGAAGTAAGTATCATTCAAATTTAACAATTTTTTATTGTGAAATTTATAAAAAAAATGAGGTGTTAAATACTTTTGCTACCCACTGTGTTTATGTTTCTGCCAATCTCTATCTATTGGTCTCGGTCTCTCTCTCATATATATATATATATATATATATATATATATATATATGGGATGAGGTTTCAAGCCTTGAATGACAACATTCCTAGAGATGATGTCTCTATTAAAAACTCTTGGTGTACTTGGACTACCATAAGTGTCGCAGTTGGGTGTCATGAAGAGCATGTTGCCTTGTAAACCTTGCTTCAAATTATTATGATAAATCCTCTGTCAGGCAAGACCCACCTTACTTTGTGCAAAATTAATCCCATCCCAACAAAAGAAACAACTATGTATATACGTATTATGATTTTGACTATAAGTTTTTTTACTTTGTGTAAGACTAATTTGTAGTAAACATTTTAGTAGGTAATGATAAATATAAAATATTATTTTTCTCATTTGTTTACTTTATACACAATCAACTAAAATGTTATGAGAAAATATATCTATATATAAAATTCTGTGACTTCTGCTAGTCCATCTGTCTATCACACTCTCTAAAATAGCCATACATTGACCAATCAAAACCAAATTTTGGGGTGAAGTGCAAACAGGGTATTAAGTATAGTTGGGTTTACTAGGGTGTGTAGCTTAGTACAATGAATTTTCATTAATTTTTTTTGAAAAAATTTAAAATTTTATTATTTAACACACAAAACACTCCCACTATTTTAAAAACAATTTAATGATTAAAATAACAAATACTTATTTAATAAAAATGCATTATTCTTTTTTGCATATCTTTAAGTTTTTATATACAAGAATTCAGTCTCCACTTTGTGAGAACTATAAACAAATCACAAGGCTAAACACTTCAGAAAGTTGGAATTTGGCTCCAGAAAGAAATATTTACACATGACCAGTTTTATGTTGCATGCTCAAGAGTAAGAAATCCTAAGTTTCTTCTTGTTAAAAATTAAAAAAAAGAAATTTTCTTAAAAAATATTGTTTACCATGAAGTCCTATAAAATAAAGAAATTATTAATCATGAAATAGATTTTTAAAATATTCTACTAAACAAATCAGCTTATTCAAATTTCATTGATTGGCTTCCAAAATTGAATGAAACGTAGAGTTTGTAAATCTCACTGAAAAATGTTAGCAATAACTTCAACAATATTAAATACTGTGAGAATTTCAACATGTGCAAGCATGTTGCAAAAAATTCTAGTATGTAAAAAGATAATTGTTTTAAAAATATTGAAATAAAGCTATCATAAAATATTTGAATTATTGAGTTGATAACATTACTGATACTCAGGGGTTACATTTATACAAAATACTGGCTTTGCCAAATATTTTTGTTAACTTTTACAACTGCATTGTTTTCCTGATGTATCAAATTTTATTAATTTTTTATTTTTTATTAAAGCCGATTTCCATGCCATTCATTTAAATTTTGGATGTTTTTTGTTAAAGGGAGATCATTTTGAGCCTATTTAAGGCAATCTCTCGCAACTATGCAATTTATATCTCTGACTGGAGATAAGTACTGTATATACTGACTTATATGTATAGTGTGATCCCTGAAATTTTTGGCATGGAATTTAATTCTTCCAGAAAAATTTACCTATGTATAGTACAACCAGTTACTGAAAATGCACTATTTTTAACCTCTTCAAAAAAATTGCCTGTGTATAGTGCAACCTCCTTTTTATTTTTTTATTTTTTTTCATAAAAACTTGCACTATACTCGAGTATATGTGGTATATTTGTTTTTAATCACTACCACTATATAATTCTGGAGAAGGTTTTTAGCCAGTGACTTGTTAGTGATCTTCAATAATTGTATAATTAGTTATTTTTAATATGAAAAATTATTTCTTGGAAAAAAAAATTTACCTGTATAAATTCAATTAGAAAAAGATTTCATAAAAAATTCTCATCAATGAAGTATGAAAGCATTTGTGGAAAAAATAATGAAACCTGAAACTTGGAAACAATAATTTTGATAAAATTTAAAAATTTTTATGCTATAATATTAAAAAGAATCATATTTATAGTCTTAACTTTCACACACATTTAACTTTTTATTTTATAGAATATAGGGGAAATATGTATGTTCTATGTGCCATGTCCCTTCAGGACGTGTGCTATCATAGCTCTTTATAATTTCCTATTCTTTGTAACCCTTAGAAAAGTTTGCTGATTTGCTGTTCCCTCTTAATCACTTTTCTGCCAACCATTTACACAAACTTGTTTGGTAGGTTATGTACTTCTTTCCTCTGCCCCACTTGCCTTCAATATGTCCTGTAAGTGTCGAATTTTCCAAGCTTTCTTTCCTCATTATATACCCTAAAAATTTCAACCGTCTGTTTCTGATGCTATGTATAAGTATTCTTTTTGTTACCGTTTTCTCTAAAACTTTGTTGTTGCTCATGTGTTCAGTTCATGGCATTTTCTGAATCCTTTTGTAAAACTACATTTCTGTTGCCTCAAGTTTTTCTTGTGAGGAGATTGTCCAGAATTCATTGCAAAATAAGATGCATATTTCACTACTCTTAATTTCTTTCAAATTAAATTTTCGTTTTTTTTTTTTGTTTTTTTTATCTTCCTAGATATTTAAATTTTTGCACTTGTTTAATTTTGGTATTTCAAATTTGTTTGTTTAATGACATATCAACTTCTTATGGATCATTTAATGCCAAAATTTAAATAGCATTAGTAATTTTTTCTTTTTACAAAAATCAGTTGCTAGTAATTTCTCTTATTTTTAAAATCTGTACTTTCAGTTTTTGATCCCAGTTTGGGGATTCACTATTTTCTCATAACTGGGACTCTGACAGGTGCTACTAACCCAGGTCAGGGTGGACCAGGGAACAACAGCAATTAAGAGGTGGTTCCAGGCTCCTCAAAACCTTCTGATCAGAGATCTTTCTGCTGGATGTAATTATCATCATATCCAGGATGATCTCCAATTTGTAATTCACATGTTGGGCTGTATCTATTGTTGATGACCATACATTTTGTCTTCTTACAGTTGATTGCTTTTTATTACTACCTTCTCTAGGAGCTATTGCAGTTTCCTTTTCATGTCTGCTATCGACACTATATCATCTGTATATCTAATGTTGTTAAGATAGTGACTTCCTGTAATGAATTCTGGTAGGACTTCTAATTCTCTCAGGATTGACTCATCCTTGTCTTACACCTCTTTCTATTTTTGTGTATTTACAGAACTCATTTTCTATCCATATGCAGGCAGTTTGTTCCTGATATGAGTTCTGTGTATCCTTCTCAAATAAATCGAGTTTACCTAGTTCTAACTTTCTTTGTGATGCATCTTGCATAATCTGTAAAACTTAGGTATTTATTTTGATTACCTGCTAAAATATTAAATCAACTTTAAAGCCCTTGGTGTTCATTGTTTAGCTGAGGAGGCTTAAGTAAACTCTAGTTTTTGAAAAATATATTTGACAATTTGATGTTTTCTTTTCATATTGAAATGATAGGGAGGCAACAATAAACTACAGAAGAACTCAAAATTGATCACTGCATTTAAGTATTGCATTAATATTTAAGCTTAAGTTCAATGATAATTCTTCTGCTGCCAATTAATTTAAAGACAATTAAATGTGTGTAGGCCCTTACTTTCTGTACAAAGGATTATTTTTATTTCATGGGTGACTTTTGCTGGATTTCACAATTAATTATTTATCATTATTCACAAATTTATTTTCAAGTTAGAAAAATTATTATACAAAAATATTTGTTGCAAAGAATCACATTAAAAAAAAAAAATGCCAAAAACAATTGCAATAATGAAAACTTGGGAATCCAAAATTTCAGTATTGTGGGTCTAGATCTGATCTGGAATGTTTTTAATTTGCTCACAGAGTTGGCCTGATTCCAAAATGGTATATGTTGGGCTATGGCCTCTAGGAGTAAAATTGAAAAAGTGTGAAATAGTGACACACTGACATTTGCATTTATTATATAGATACATTGGTGAATGATAAATATTGCATTGCATTTGTTTTAATTGTATTAGTATTTAGATTGATGTAAATATAAAATTATTCTTGGGAATAAAGAATATAACAAATAGTGTTTAATCTTTTTGTTTTAAATTCTCAAGAAAAAAAATGCATAAATTCACCTTTATCCTATGTTTAGGTTTTGTTTCAATTTTATCCTTGCTTTTTAAAACAGACATTGCTGAGGAGTAGAGGTAGGTGAAATAATAGTGGAGTCAAAGGAAAAAACATTCTTTTGACTCTGTTGTTTTTTTTTTTTTTTTTTTTTTTGCAGGTACAAAGGTTCAACATTGCCAAAATTACAATAGATGTTCAAAATATTAATTGTTGATATATAAGCATTTACGAACCTCTTTTTAAAGTAGTTGTACTGGTGCTTTCACATTTGGATATTTTAAGGTGGGAATTGTTCATGGGTGATTTTTAGTCAATCCCAGAGGCAAAAATCAAGATGTCAGGAGACTGAGGCAGCCATTCAACTGGACCACATTTTCTATCTTGCTAGGAATGCATCATCTAAAATTGGCCTCACACTAATAGTCTCACCTTTGGTGAAATGATGGTAAATAAATGGAACCAGGGAAGAAAAACAGTGTTGTACTTTTGAATTACACTGCGTTTTAATTACCTTCTTTTATTTTTTGTTTAGAATAATGAATACCTGCAAACTGCTGCCCGTTGTCTTCAAATGATGCTGAGAATAGAAGTCTACAGAAAAGCTTTTGTGAATGTTGATGGTATTTCTACGTAAGTATTTTCTTAGAATACAATCTTGGTTCATTATTAACTAAACAAATCTGAAGAATTGAGATTTATAACTGAAGTGTCTTCAAAATTGTAATTTGAAAATAATATTTTATTGTTTCAAATGAACATTTTTCTTTTGTTTTTAATCCATTTACTATGAAGTATAAACAAGTATTAATTGTTTAAATTGGTTAAAGTCTAACTTTTTCAGTGCCATGGAGAAACATGCTTTACACTGTTGGTTGAAAGAAACTTATTTTCAAACACTTTTAGAATTTTTTTTCTTCCACAACCTTTCCATTTTGTTTAGTTACCCCAAGCTTACTCAGTTCTGATCTCCATGTTCTTTTAGATCCACCTGGGTTGATGTGCCATAAAATAGATCAATCAATGTCCTTTTAGGTTGATTGAATCTTAGCACCAAGCTACATGAAGATGTTGACTTGTTTCAAATTATTTCCTGTTAAGATCATAAGTTCACCCCACCAGAGGGGATAAAGAAACTGGTATCAAAAGGAACTCAATTTATTTCTCTTCATAATTACAAGGGTTGGTGGATAAGTAAGGTCTCCCAATCCTATGAAACAAGTCCTAAACCAGATAGAATAATGAAACCTGTATCAGAATTAAGTCAATTTATTTCTCTTTATAATTATGAAGGATGACTTATCAGTAAGATTTTCAATCCTATAAAACAAATTTATACCAGATAGAATAATGAAACTTATGAAAATGAAGTAGAATTATTTCTAAAATAAGGTCTCCGATCCTATAAAACAAGCTTTAGATCAGAAATGAAACTGGTATCAGAATGAAGTCAATTTATTTCTCTTCAATATTATGAGGATACAGAAGCCACAGGGTAAACACAGAGTGCCCACTAAAACTTAATACATGCATACACCTACAAACGCTTTAAAAATAAACACTTGATATCTATCCAAAATGGAGAATGTTAACTTAATATTCTACATTCAAATTTCAAAAAGCTCCTTTGTTTGGTGCCCTTTCCATGATACACCAATTATAACCCTAAGTATGTGTGTATATGTTCTGTCAAGTCTATCATTCTTCTCTTTTGTAAAAAGTTCAGCTTTCAACACCATGGAGCAGAATACTTTCCACTGTGGCTCAAAAGAGGCTTATTTTCAGGTTATTTTAGATATTCAACTTCTATACATTCCAGTTTTGTTTAAAGCACCCCAAGCTTGCCCATTTCTGATCTTCATGTCCTTTTACCTTGACTGAATCCAAGTACCAAAGTTCTTGAAGTCATCTACTTGCTTCAGCCTTTTTCCTTCCAAGGTGATAATTTCACTCTGGTTGATTGTATTGTTCAGTTTTCTTGAAATTTATGTATAACCATACTGTTTCTGTTGCACTATCTAGTCAAAGGAGATGTAGTTGTCTACACTAAGTAGTTAATGAAAGATTGTCAGCAAAGTTGGTATCTGTGATGTACAAAGAAAGGGAGACTAAAACATACTTGGTTCACAGCTAAGAAACTGTTGATTTGAAGAGTGAAGACCATGTGAGAGAAAAAAAAAAAAAATAGGAGCTAGACAATAGTTTTGAGTTCATTCGAAACAAAAACCAAAAAAATAAATTATGTGTTTATATTTCAGAAATTTGCCTAAAATCTTTTAATAAAATGAAAAATTGTAGAAAAAAGTTAATTAAAATTGGCTTGTGTGTGTATAATATCAATTTATTTATTAAAAGATCTGGAATCATAGTGTCAAACGTGTTTATTAAAATGTATAAAACTGTTATGGCCAAACATTGTGATTTGCAGCTTATTTAACTTACTGCATTTTTTTTTTAATTAAAATTTATAATTTAGATATTTTGTATTGCTTGCTATTTGTTTATTTTATTACTTATGTGTGTATTTTATGTTTTCATTAAATTGTTATCTTTATTTTTGTCTAGCATTGTCACTGTGTTGGCAGGGAGTAAAGTTGGCTTCCAGATTCAATATCAACTTATCTTTTGTTTGTGGTCTTTATCATTCAGTCCTCCACTTGCTGAGAAAATGAACAAGTATGTAGATGTTGTTTGTACCTTTTTATTTATTTATTTATTTTTTTTAATAATATTGTTCACCCAAAGCAATGCCCAGGCACTCCTCGAGGTTGTTGGTTGTAATGACGTAAAGACAGAACATAAGTGTATATTATGGGGAAATATAGGATACATAGTGGTTGACCCTAGACTTGAAGAGGTTAAGATTGTAGTGATCAGAGAAGCATCCACACAGGAGTCTGTACCAGAAAGTAACAGTTCTGATAAAGAGGCTGTCTGAGTAGAACTTGCTCTTTGATGTCATGTACATGGCATGGCAGGTCCTAGCAGTGATGATATGAACTGGCAGAACTAAGGAATGGTGTTCATCTGAACATTTACCATGGAAATAACAATAGAGTAGCCAGAGGTTATAAATGTTTTGTCTGTGAGAATGGATGAACTGATGGGTGTATAGATGCCAGCAGCACCTTTTGGATAAACAAGTTTAAGTCCTGGCATTTTCCTTTTTGATTAAAAAAAAAAAAAAAATTCCAGAATGCAATTATTTCAAGGCATATTTATCGTTTGCTTTGTAGTAAGAAATACCATGAATTTTTTTTTTAATCATCTCACCCCAATCAAGGTAATAAATTCACTAAGATGCAAGGGTTTACTGAGTATGAAAGAATGAGAAAAAGAAAAACATAAAGGAGGGAATACAAGAAAGAAAATAATGACTCGCATTGCATTTAAATTTTTGAAGATCAAAGTTGGCTGGGAAGCAAGATGTTGGAAGAGACTTCCACAAGCAAAAAGTGTGAGAGAAGAAAATGTTAGCATAGAACTTACGGTTACATCTAGCAATTTCTACTATAAAATGATGAGATCTAGTTGGGAATACCGAGTGCTGTAAGTGTGGATAGTGTAATGGATAACATCCCAGGATTGTTAATCGGAGAGCTGAGTTTCAATTCCCATTGGATTTGTTATATTCACTTACACATAAATACCTTTAGGAAGGTATGAATCCACCTTTTCTCCCCCAGCTATGGATTAATTAGTAAGACTTCTATCACTAACCCCCCCCACTCAAAAAAATGTAAAATTGTGTACAAAATATTTAGATTTCAGCATTAAATAACCCATAGAGGTTAATATTCTGCTAAACAAAAAAAGCAACCAAAGCAATTTTGTATACCTCCACTCACCAAAGTTATTTTTGTATATGAAAACAGACAAGTCTAATACTTTTGTAAAATGCAGGGATTGATTTGACACTGTATTGCTATTATAAACAGAATGCCATTTCTAAATTAATAAAAAAACGTTTTTTTCAATTCTGACACATGTTGGGGTCTAAGGAAAGTTCTAAAGAATGCTAAACTACCAAAATTATCTCCATCCTCCACCCATTTTTTTTTTTTTTTTTTTTTTTTTTTTTCTAGGAGTGGACCAGTCTATTTAAGTAGCACTCTTTTTTGATTTACCATTTTACTGTAAATATATTTTTTCTTTGTTCTTCCTTCTCTTGTTTTAATAGATTTTTATATGTATTATAAATTGATATATTTTTTTTTTTTTTTTTTTTTTTTTTTTTTTTTTAAGCCATAATAACATTCTGTACACACCATTAAATTATTTAAAAATAGTTTGTTCTGTATTTTCCAGCATGTAATACTGTACATTATACACTTCTTTTTAAATTTTCTTTTCTTTTTACAAATTACATCAACGCATCACAACCACTTGGTGTTTTGGGCATCATATCCTTAATATCTCAATAGAGTGCACAGTGTAGTCTTTAAATGAGAATGTGTGGGTAGTACAATGGTTATTAGTGCAGAAAATGGAATTGGTGAGCCATGTTCAAATTCCAACCTTTTTCTGTGACATTCACATTGCACTAATAGCTTTGGGAAAAGTGGGAATCCATCTCTTTTCCTCACAACTATGGGTTAAATAGTAGGCTAGACTAGGTTCTTTAATCTGTGAAGTGGCAGGAGAAGGCAACAAGAAATCCATTCCACTATTTTCATAAAATGTCATGGTAATTTAACAGATAATGAAAAAAAGGAAATTATGGAGAGCCATGAATACTTGTACCTACGGAAAATGGCTTTAAAAGAAATGAAAGAAAAAATGATCGACCAACAAATATTTGTAAATGTTATGCATACAAAATATTTTCAAATTCTAATGGACATAAAAATTAATTTATAAATATTTTATTCTCAAAAAAGAAAATCAATTTGAAAATGCCATTTTTGTTGTTATTCCATTTTTAAACATCTATCCACATTTATTAATGCGAAAAAAAAAATCTGTTCATTTGTTAATATCTCCTTTTTGTTTTTTAAAAAAAATGTTATGGAAGTATGAAAAAGATTACAAGAGTAATTTAAATGTTATCATTTAATTAGTGGGGAGGAATGAAGGCAGGTTGTAAGGAATCAAGACTTAACACTTACCTAAAATTAATTGAACTATATTGGATCCTGCATATTTCTTCTAACCATTGTGGAATATTTTCAAACTAAGATCTCTTTGTAACATCATAAGCAATGAAAATGTTGTGGGATTGCTCATATGTTTTGGGTAAATATTTAGTCATCATTATTTTGTGGTAGTCAACACTTTGGATAGTAAATATTTATGGGCTCCTGGAAAATTTATTCCACAAACAATATTGGTGGACTCTATGTATGCGAGTCCAATTAAAGTAACACAAAACAAAAGAAAACATTTACAGACTAGTTATAAAAGTTTGAGGGGTCCTAATCTGCAGCTTAGACTAGCCTAAAGGATAATCTGGCCTTGGGCCCTAGGCTGCTGTCTATACAAGCTTAAAGGATAATCTGGCCCTGATTAGCATAGGATTTATGGTTGCATTTATCAATTTCAACAGTAAAATGATGAGACTTAGCTGCCAATCTAGTACTCTACTTAAACTTGTGGAGTCTAGGTACCAAAAAGGATAACTCATCAGAACAATTATCATGAAAATATTTATAGAAAAGTCACAGGGAAGCTAATGTTAAGGCAATGGGGAAAGGCACAAGGAAGCTGAGTGCCAGCAAAGAAATTTTGACCTCTTGTGCAGGGTGGTATTAATCATTGGTATGTTGGCAGCAGTTTGGTGACTGTTGGTATTGACTGCTGCTGACCCTGCACTAATTTGTCATTTTGCTACAAGAAGGTAACAGGAAACCAAGCTATCTTTCATGACAATTTCCAGAGTTTATCTTGCATATTTATAAGTTTACCAATCATCCTTGCTTTAAATATTGCTGCCAGATCTAGTTTGGTGCTTCTACTATATATTTAGAGGTTTTTGATAAAATACAAAGAATGTTGATGGTTTTTTCTCTGGCGGCAAGGTCTTGTCATTTTACCGTATGTAGGTTTTATTCAAACAGTTTCTTCTCTGACATGTCTCACTTTTGGAACTCTCTTCTGGATTCTTGGTTCCCAGTCAACATTGCATTTAAATTTTTGAAGATCAATGACAATCATTATCTTTTGTTTTAATTCCTGTTTTTTCATTGTTCTCTCTCAATAATAGTGTTGTTTTTCATATTCTCTAACACTCAGTAATCTCTTGTATCTTAGTGGCTTTATTGCCTTGTTTGGGGTGAAATGATTAAAAAAATACAGGTATTGAAAGAAAGAAAAAGAATATGATTAGAGCCATGATTGCTTATATCCTGATGTGACATGTCATATAAAAGATAAAAAGTATTTAGGTCTATTTTTTGGGGGCCGGGGGAAGATTTTATATACTGCCAAGTACAATAACTTCTATGTCTGTTCATACCTTTTTTTAATTATTGATTTTTTTTTTTCTTTAAGGTATAATATCATTGAGATATTATCTGACATCCTCAGTGAATCTGTGAAAGAGAAAGTCAGCCGTATTATTTTATCTACATTCCGAGTAAGTGTCGTTTGATAATGCTTCATTAATTGCTATGAAAATTATTGCTGTTAGATACACTTTTTTCCACTGGCCTCATATTTCCTTGAACATTTTGAAATCCAAAGTGGTTTTTATGTTTAGCTATGTTTATTTATAAACAGAGTGTCTACAAAGTCATTAGAATTGACTGAGGTGTGAGTTTATTTTCCATATTTAGCTGTGTAATTGTTTCACGTTTGAATATGCAAGTTTGTTTCAATAAATCAAGACACACATTGTTCCTTTTCTTATGGAGTAGTTATTGTCATCCAATTTTAGGCATGGCTCTTGGTAATTATTTAACTGCGGTCTGAAGCATAAAAACAACATTAAAAAGACTTAATATCATGAAAAGAATTTTAATAATAACATTAATATGCAACAAAAATTTAGTTGTCACCTCTTTTGTAATTACTTTTTGAAATTTTGTAAAGACTTTGTAGGTAGACACCTTGCAGCAAAATAAATTTCTTTTAGTAGAAAGAAAATGTTGAATTCAAAGAGGCTTTCAAATAATTGAGCTTGTTCATTTTTATTGGGGGCGGGTGGGTGTTCATGAAACAAAAATCATTAAAAAATTAAAATCTAGTTCAGTTACTTAACAATCTCTTGAAATAACTCACCTCAAAATTATTGTCTGTATTTTAAAGAAATATTTCTTTTATCATTGTTCAGTAGATTAAAAAAATCTAGTGGGCATTTACATTTTTATCTAGAATTGTGGCCATAATTTGGATGCAAAAAAAAAAAAAATGAGAGTAATTTTGTTAACACCCTCTCTAATAATGGCTTTTTGGAGAAATTTAAAGAAATTTTGAAGGATGTAATTATTTGTAGAATTTGTTGCTGAGAGATTGAGAAGCAGTCATCCAAAGGCATATTGATCAAGGTTCTATGATCATTTGTGATGGTTGGTTCGCTTATAATGGACTAAAAATGATCTGGGTTACAAAGTTAAATCATGAAAATAATTTTGTTGATCTTTAGTTCATGCTCAAACAATAGAGAATAGCTGGCTTTATCTAAAGCATTTTCTCAAAGAAAAAGAAACCCACAAGCATTCGCACGAATATGAATATATATCTAAATATATATTTCAGAAAAAAAAATCTATTTGAAAATATTAAAAACAATAAATGATATATATAAATTCTAACTTGCGAATTATGGCCACGATTGTAAACTTTTACCATATTTTTGTATTGTCTTCTAATAACAATAAAAGGGATCTGCGGTTAGCTTTGTAAAGGGAGATAAGTCATTTAATTCTCATAAAAATCTTTTTACCTCCCTTTTCTTGCTGGTTTTAGAATCTGCTTATAAAACCAACTGACAGTGAAATAATTCAGGAGCATGCTTTGGCCATGGTTCAGTGCAAAGTTCTGAAACAGTTGGAATTGATTGAAGCAAGAAAACATGAAGATCCAGAATTTGAGGATGATCTTAAAATGTTACAAGAGAAACTTTTAGAATCTGTACAAGATCTAAGGTGAGTTGCTCAAATATCCAACAATAGTGAGTGAATCTATTTTTTTTCTTGATATAACTTAGCAATGTTTTAATTATATGAGCAAATATACAAAGAAAAGTTGAACTCTTTGATTTTTCAATTTAATGGTTATAATCATGGGAGGGTGCTCCGAAAGTAACGCCTCCTATTTATTTCCATGGAAACTACAATGAATACAGAGAACAAATAACACCATTTGACAGAGCAAGTTTTCAGCTATAAAACACCATATTTTCAAATCCACCCCACTATTTGTTCTGCATTTTTGCCAGCAAATAACAAGAGCCTGCATAATTTCATTGAAACATGACTTGTCACACACATTACCATCATCAATGCTGCAATGCAATACCCATCACTTAACTGTGTTTGTTATCCTCTGTTTGGTCTCCATAATCTATAATCATTATTTTTCTTTATTACATTTTTTCTCTCAACTATTTTCACTTTTTAATATGGAATGACCAAGGTCTTTGCAGTGTAAAGTAGCTGTTTGGAGTCTGCCTTCAGGCTTATTAATACTGGCGTCACAGCAAGTAGCTGAAAATGGCTATGAAGCGCATTATTAAATTATAAAAATTTAATTGAAAATTTAAGTAAATATTTGGATTAATGTTTACTTTAAATTCTTTTCCAGAATTCTTTTATTACAAAGTTTTATTATTATTGGCAACTTTTCAAACCTAGTTATATCTCTGTGTATAACTTTTCAGAGAATACTTGCGCCCACTCAGGATACAATTGAGTATAGCCATCTTCTCACATAGATCAGTCAGATCTTAATGACTTGTGCAAATGGAAGCTGACTGATGTTGGTAGGAGGTTGTGTGCTGCTTTTATTAGGAAACTTATTCTTTTTATGTCCATCTGTTTTGCTGTTGTGCCATGAAAGTTGATCTTCATTTGTTGTATTTCATCCATTTGCTCCATGGACAGTTTCAAATATTCAACAGCTGTAATAAGAGGCTTACTCTCCTCAATATGGCAGATTTCTTCTGTTCCAGTTTTGATCACGAAGGCAGTGGGTGACTCTGCCAGAACACCAGTCCCTTCCATCATCCAAAGGGATGTTTTTTTATACTTCAACAAATGATGTCAATGAGCCTTTCAACTTTGATGTCAAGCAGTATAAAGACTTGTTTGTTTATCTCCTTTAAATTATCTAGAAAAGAATAGCAAAGACGAGGAGCTTATATTTTGAAATGCAAAAGTAATTTCCTTAAAAAGTAGTAACTTTTTTTTTTTTTTAAACTAAAATGCAATAACCATCATTTAACTGTTCTTGTTGTTCACTGTTTGGTTTCTATAATCATTATTTTTCTTTATTATATTTTTTAAACCAACAATTTTAATATAGAATGACCAAGGTCTTTTGTTATAACAAAAATTTAATTGAGAGTTCAATATTTGGATTAATAATGTTTACTTTAAATTCTTTCCTAGAATTCTTGTTTTACAAAATTTTATCCAACTCCTACTCTTCTATGTTGAAGTTACATTTCTGTCCAGTCATGAAAAGTATGCAGCTGTCTAACATAAATGGGACTTGAGAATCATTCTTTACTGATCTTGCATACCTCAACAAATGATGTCAGTGGGTCTTTTAGCTTTGATGTCAAGAAGTATAAAGATTCATGTTTATTTCCTATGTGTTACCTGAAAAAGAATTATAAAAACAAAGGGATTACATTTTTAAATGCAAAAGTAATTTCTTCAAAAAGTAGTAACAGGGTTTTTTTTTTTTTTTTTTTTTAAAACAGTTCATTTGATGAATATTCAAATGAGGTGAAATCTGGTCGTCTTGAGTGGAGCCCTGTACACAGATCAGATCGTTTTTGGAGAGAGAATGCTATGCGTCTTAATGAAAAGAATTATGAACTTTTAAAGTAAGTTTTCTTTGTTTTCTTTCTTTCCAAAAATGAAATTCTTTTCTAAGTTTCATATATCAGTTCCATGCTAAATTTACCTAACAAAAATAAAGAAAAGAAAAACGAACTTTTTTTGCTAAATATTCTCTACTTATTGCTTTAGAATTTCCCTTGACTTTGATTATTAATGATAGCCTTATTACTATATGTTTGTATTAATTTAAAATTTTTAAAATATTTTTTGTAATAGTTTTTTTTTTTTTCAATTTTAGAGCAACAATACTATGATTAACATCAAGACTTTTATTCTGTTTGCATTTCTGATGAAAGTTTTTCATTTTTTGTTGATTTGGATTTCATGAAATACATTGGCAGAGGATTAAGATTATCTAATCAGCTAAGAATATATGATGGTTTTGTCTTACAGAAAAAGAAGCAAAAAAAAAAAATAAACGGAAAAGCTTGTTTGCTACATATATTGTTTAACTATCACTGATACACTAACAAAGTATTAACTCTTTCCCTGCTGAATGTAACTTTCATTGAATTATCACATGGCATACCCAACTATGATGAATTTAGTCCAATGGGCATGTTAGAAAAAAAGTTTCTCTCTTGTAGATACAAAGAATAATTCTTTTTATTTCTCAATCAACTCTTAGTGAAGCCACACAGGAAATTTTCCAAGAGTGAAGATAAAAATAAGTTTGAACTAATATATATAGTCAGTGTCCAATGCTTTCTAAGGCACAAAACATATACTATATTTTGTGTTCATACCAAAGAGTGGAGATATTCTTATTTTGTATACTGGAGACTGTAAAAATAGGTATACAGTAAGTATTATATCAGCATTAGAATAGTGGTTCTAGGATTCATTAAAATCCTTTTTAATATTTTCTTTTTCATAATTTTTATTATAATACGTTTATTATATTTTTTTATTTTTTAATAAATAATATTATTTTGCAGGTAAAGAGGAGTGTGTAGGGGGGCAGTTTGAACATTTGAGGGATATTTATTATTAACGTGTTTTTATAACCAATAAATTTTGTGCACATGTTTCATTACTGTAATATTTACTTCTGCATCCCCTGTATATAACCCTAAACTATGTCAATATAAAATGGTATGTGTTACTCATCTCAACTCAACTTGGTAGATACATCAAAAACATTACAAATTATAGCAAATATAACAGGCTTATTTGCATAGAAATTTTTTAATTTCATTGCAATATTTTTAAGTTTGGCTTTAATTGTGAGAAACTGAACTAAAGTTAATTGTAAAAAGCAAACTTTTTTTTATTTTTTTTTTTTTTTTAACTGTAAGGTTCACCCTGTACAAGGCCTGGTGGACACTCAAGGTAGAGGGTAGTGGTAGTTTATATGAATAGGAGGGGAAGATAATGGTCAGCTCTAGATATGCTTGTTGCTCTGTTTTTGATGGTTTAATAAAGCAACAATCAGAATAGAAATTTAGATTATATTCATAAACAAGTAATTAAAAATCTAATAATAATCATTTTAGAAATATGGGGTTTAACAAAATTTAATTTTAATGAGTATTTGATTTCAAAGAAAATATTAAGTTACATTTTACTTAAAATATAATGAAAAATACATTTGTTCCCAGCAGGTCTCAGCTGCATATCTACTTGATCTTTGAACTGTATTAGTTTTCTTTACATGTATGTTATGAAAGTTGAATTTAATTTGTAAACATCTAAGACAGTTGAAGTATGGATGATCAAAAATGGCAAAACTTATATCCCCTACATTAGAACAGTCATCTTACAAGCAACACTCTGTATAATCAACAGATAAAAAAAATAAATAAAATAATTTTCCTTTTCTGCCTTGTCTACAGATTTTAAAGAATTTCATTTCCTATAAAAAAAACAGTGTCATATTTTTGTCAGGCAAGGGTTAAAATGAAACTTTTTTTTTTTTTTTTGTCTTTTAGAATCCTGGTTAGATTGTTGGAAAGCAGCAAGGATCCTCTTATCTTGTCTGTAGCGGCTCATGATTTTGGTGAATACGTTCGTTATTATCCTCGAGGCAAAAAGTGAGTTCCATTCTTTTCTCTCTTTTAATTTTTTTTTTTTTTTTTTTCTTTCATTTTGTTATTTGAAAACAAGTAATTCAGTTGTCTTGATTGTTGTTACTTACTAAGCTTAGCTTAATGACATATGGGGCACCCAGTGAGGAACAAACTAGATATTCAGTAGCAATGATCAACCAGATCAGTTGGCTGACCATAACTCAGTGTTTAATGTCTGTCTGTGAAATGGAAAAAGTTTTCAATTTCAAATCATTTCATTTGTACCTCATTACTTCTTAAAATAACAACCAGCATTCATATTTATGATTGTTATTGCAATATTTAATGATACAATAGAGGAATTTCTACAGATATTTTATTGTTGTAGAACTTGCCATGAGCTTATTTAGTCATTAGCTTAAGACTTAAGATTCATCAGAAATTTCAAATAGGAAAACTCTAAAATTTTCATGGGTTAAAACTAGTTCTAATTAATGTTGTACCTTGAGGAATGCCAAATGAACGCTATTCTATAAAAATTATTTCTAAAAAATTCTTTATTTTTTTTTTTTTTTTTTTTTTAAGACCAGAGAAATCACTTGAAATCTGTTGTCTTTTTAATGGAAAAAACATGAGGAATTATGACAAGCATTACAGGCATACAGAATAAGGCTATGTATATGTATGTATTATTAGTTCAAATGTTATTCTAGTGGATACTTTGTATTCAAAATAGATGACCCATTTTTATTTATGAAACTGTGTATTATGTCTATTGGCTTGTGCATTTGAAAAATCTTAGTAAAGAAAAATGTGTCTTCCAACAGGGATTGAAAGGCTGATAGATTTAATACACACCATTTAATAAATAAAAATGGGGTGTCTATTTCAAATACAAAGTGTCCACTATAATAATATTTAAAGTAATAAAATTGGCGAACTAAAAATAAATCCATTCATATTTTTAAATAATGGGTGTGTTTGTAGGATGTATAATAGTATCCAAAACAAAAGTGAAGATGAGGTAAAGTGGAAAATTTCTTCAATGATTCATTTTGTCAAGAGTTGTCTGTTCTCTTTGGCTTCCTCATGTTAGAATGAAAGAAAGAAAACTGTGAGGAAAATACCTTAGGATCTCTGAGGACAAGTAATGACCATAAATTAAATTAGATACCTTATCACCTCCAATGTCCTGACTCAAGAGAGTATCTACCTGTTTGTTTTATCTATATCAGAGGCATTTAGTGTCATTGTATTTTAAATCAGCCCACTGAAACTAGTTTCATTATATATATATATATATATATATATATATATATATATACGGTGGATAGCGGCTCGGATTCAGAAATTGGAGTGCCGAGTTCAAATTCCACTTGAATCCATTACATTCACTTATGTGCTAATACTCTTGGGAAAGGTATTAAATCCTCCACTTCTCCTTCCAGCTATGGGTAAATAGCAAGACAGACTGGGTTTTATAGCCTTGGATGGCAACTGGTCTAGGAGAAGGACAACTTTCTGCACAGAGCCTTCACCACTATAATGAAATCATATGTGCTGGTGTCTGGCTATTGGCTCCTAGGTTTTGAGCTGCTTGACCCTCATACGCTGAATACAATGGGAGAGTCCACCATATATGATTGTCACTTCTTTGTTGAAGAAAACCATATCTTCATTTTTGGTAACTTTGTGTTTTTCATTCAGAATTTTATTATTTTCATCATTTAAGTCAAGGGTCGGCAACCTACAGCCCGTGGGCCAGATCCAGCCTGCGAAGGCATTTTGATAGGCCCGCGAGCCTGATTACCAATGACTCTATTTTTAACATGAGAGATGACCATCAAATGAAATTTGTTATGTCATTTTCCAAAGAATGTCTACACATCTCGGTGCACTAAAAATATTAGACTATCTGCCAGTTATCTTTCATGAGTCTTATTTTACCAAGTTGTGTTGCCTACGTTTAATGTCAAATAATGGATACATATTTGTTATGACCCTTGGCTACATTAAAAGATAACAGAAGCGAAAGGAATGATAAAGTGAAAGAGGCCAGGGAGGGACTGACATGCGAGGTAGCAGAAATCTAAAGACAGTTAAACATACACGCATTATACATACATGCCTCATGAATGTGTGGATGCTACCGCATGTGTATGTACATAAGTGTATATGTTTGCAACTATTTGTACTCATATGTATGGGTATATGTGCTTCGTTTTTGTTTGATGTGTGTGGTTTGTTTGTGGAACAATTTTCAATAACAGTTTCAAACCTACATGTCATAATTTCATCCATTTCACTTCGGTTGATTTTTTTCACTTTGAAGTATTTTGATGTTCCTTGAGAGAAAGTAATTTTTGTTAGGTGTTTTTGAATTTGAGATTTTCTTTTGTTGTTCTGATTTCTCAATGTTTATTTTCATTATGGTTTTAAATATTTAGGTTGACGGGGGTCTGCATATGTAATTTTCCTTAATGGCCTTCGTCCGGCCTGCGACCCATCATTATAACACAATTCGGCCCGCGGGATCGAATGAGTTGCTGACCCCTGATTTAAGTGATTAAGGCCAGCTTCACTTTAACAACCTCTCTTGCACACGTGACAAACATAAAGTTTGTCTGTGTTACCTTATGTTGGAAACTTGCCTGTCTCTGTGCACAATCATGTGATTAAGTCCCAGCAATGGACTTACAAACCTTATCACAAAACTCTCACAAGCAATCTGCAGGTTTTTCTGGCATGGTTGCATTCACAGGATTTTGCACCTCACCTTTTTGGTGTGATCTCACATGACTGGCTAAACCAGCTGACGAGAGGATGACTTTTTCCACAAATACTGCAAGTATGTTGGTGTCTTAATATCTCTGGGACAGATTCGATTTCTCCATTTATAATGGTGTGGTTTTTGTTGGAATACTCAATTCTCTTCTGCTCAAAATTGTTCCAACTATTTCCATCAACAGTTTCCCAGTCTTCAACATTAAAGCCAAGAGGCTTTAAGCTACATTTAACTACATCCTTGAAATGTTTTTTTGGCTTATAAAATGTATTTTTGAGTTTTTTGTATACACTCACACACAATACAGCTTTTTTTTTTTTTTTTTTATACTTGTGTGTGTATATACCCCCTAAATTTCATAGTGTAAACAGAGAAATCATTTGAAACTCATTACTGTTTTTAGTGGTGAATTTATTGTTGATGTTTATATTTTTTTCACTCCAGTGTGATTGAAAAACTTGGTGCCAAACAACTGGTGATGCAGTACCTCACTCATGAAGATCCTAACGTGCGTTATGAAGCCCTTATTGCTGTGCAAAAACTCATGGTTCACAACTGGTAAGTTAGGCCACTTTTTTCATCTGCTTTTAATAGAATGCAACTGTTCAGTGACCGACTGCAGTTTCTGGATGTATATTGGAAAGATAAGAGACAAACATTTATTAATCCAACATGTTTAGTAGCTACTTTTTGACATATTTGTCATCAGCATTGTTCCGTTAATGCACAACCACCCTCAACATTGCACTCCATATGAAAGCTGAGGTTTGATGTGATAAATACTGCCACTAAAAATTAGATTCATAGCTTTCACCAATTTTTGAGCATTTAGTTTTAATGATTGTCAGAAAAAAAAAAAAACAAAAAACAAGAAATGTACAGAATTACCTAATTTTTGCAGGTTTTTGCTTACAAACTGATTTCAGAATTTTACTATGTCAAGAATAAATCCAAATAAACTTAATCTTTTTATATTATATACATTGAATGGAAAATATATTCAAACCAGAATTGTGATTTCCCACAAGCAAAATATGCAAATTTTTTTTTACTGTATTCAATAAGTAAAAACTGTAAAAAAAAAAAAAAAAATAAAAGATTATGAAAAAAGCTACTCAGTAAGATTTATTAGATCATAATTGATAAAAACAAAAAAATAGATAAAAGTATATAACACCATAATACTGCTGGGTACAAATTATAAGACAAAATGTTTTAATTTTGCATTGCTTATTGAAAATCACACTAAAAATAATGCACTGTATAACATATTACATCTTACTCTAGCTAAATTGTTTAGTGTAATTTCCCTTTGAAGTAAATGAAGGTCTATTAAGTAATAATGTGCTTGTATCATGCATCTTGTCTATATACGATTTGTGAAGCTTCAGTAAATTATAAATTTTATAAGACTTTCACTGATCGCAATTTTGAACATAAACCCATTGTTTAAACATCTCTCCTCAAAAAACGATAAATTGGAAAAAATATTTTGTTGCTATTTATCATGTTAAACTCCAACTTTCAAATTTAGTGCAATACCACGGTTCCAAAATGGACTTGCACTACTGTAACAGTAGTGTGGAACCTCTTCCCAGATAAAAAAAAACAGATGATGCTCTTGATGTGGTTGGAATGTTTTACTTCATCCACTGTGAATTTGTCGGGTGAATTGGGTGTTGGGTAGCATTGTCGTACACCAGTATTGACAACCTTTTGCACAAATGTCCTAGACCATTTTGACAAACGGCTTCCTTCAGTTTGGAATTTGTCCATTGTCTCCTCATGTTAGAATACATTGACAGTCTGGCCACGTTATTTTAAAGTCTGTGAGCAGCACATGGTTCCTTTGCTGACTACTATAGCAGTAGGAGGATACTGATAAATGGTCAGCCCTAATTATTCTGACTGGAAAAACATGTTTCTAACTGGGTGTTTTTGTTAAGTCTTGGTTAAAGTTTAAATATCTTCTAACTAAATGAAAACAGATGGCAACAAAATTGAAGATTAATAGCAAAATATATATTTAGATTTTTTTTAGTCCTTAGCAAAAAAAAAAAAAAAAAAGGTATCGACAAGTAAAAGATAATTTCTCGACTTTATGAATTTAAGTGCAGTATTAGATTGGCAGGTAGGTCTCATCATCTTACAATTGAAATAGCTAGATGTAACTAAATTCTGTGCTAACAGTTTCTTCTATCACACTTATCACTTGTGAAACACTCTTCCAGCTTCTTTCTTCCCTGTCAACTTTGATCTTCAAAAAATTTAAATGCAAAGTTGACAGGGAAGAAAGACTGTTGGAAGATGTTTTCTATATAATAAGTGTGATAGAAAATGATTAACATAGAACTTACAGTTAAAATGGCTAGATGTATGAGACCTACCTGCCAATCTATTACTGCGCTTAAATATATAGTCTTGGTAGCATAGAGGAAAGCCCATCAGAACAATTACCATGAAAATATTTATAGAAAAGGCACAGGGAAGCTACATTACAGTGGTGGGATTCAATTGACATTGCATTTAAATTTTTGAAGATCAATAGTTATCTTCTGTCTCTTTAATTTGTATTCTTTTATTGTCCTCTCTCCTTAATAGTATTTTCCCATATTTGGTAACCCTCAATAACCCCTTGTATCTTAGTAGGCTTTATTGCCTTGCTTGGGGTGAAATGATTTAAAAAAAAAACAAAAAAAAAACAATTGGCTTGATTGACGTGTTAATTAAATTCTTGTTTTACACATATTGAGTAAATAGCTTTTATGAGAAGATTTGAAATCAGGCGATTCTTGTCTGATGATGAATTCCAAACTTTTGTTTGGACAATGATATTTACTCTGTACAAGATCTCAAGGCAGAGTTAAAAAGTAAAATCTCTTACACTTGTGGAACTCGCTTCCAACATCTTCAGAAATTTAAAGGCAATGTCAATCATTATCTGTTGCCTTAATTCTTGTTATTTTATTATCCACTCTACTTAACAGTATTTTTTTCATATTCTCTAACACTCAGTAATCTCTTGCATCATAGTGGCTTTATTGCCTTGTTTGGTGTGAAATAAATAAAAAAAAAAAAAGAAAATTAGATTTCTCCCTCTACCTTACCCATCCTATTCTGTTTTTGTTTTTTTATATAACAACAAACAAACTTAGATACACTCATTCCTGACCAGGTGCTGAAATCTGATGAGAAACATAAAAAAACAAAAAAAACAAATCTAGTTAAAGATATTCTGTGTGCCATGTCTCTTCAAGGTGTAGGTGATCACAATTTCCTTTCCTTTGTAAATCCAAATAAATTGTCTTTTTACCGTCTCTCCTAAATCCTGTTCCACGCATCAATTTTGCTATGTTGTTTTCCTCATTCCTTCATGGTATTGTCGGCATCCTTCTGTAGAACCATATTTTTGTTGCTTCAAAGTCTCTTCATATTTCAGGAGATTGTTCAGCATTCACTGCCATATAGGATGCTTATGTAACAGTTCAGTACACTTCTTTGTTTCTAGTGAAATTGTCCTGTTTTTTAATACTCTGCTTAGCTTTTGGAATACATCTTTGGATTTCAGTGTTGCACTTTCTGTCCTCTAAAATTAAACAAGCACAATTTAAATATCTCAAATTTGTAATTTGCATGTTGGGCTGTTCCTTTTGCTAACGACTATGCATTCCATCTTCTTGCAATTGATGTTTAGTCCTTTCTTCTGACTTTCCTTCACTACCTTGTGTAGGAGTTCTGTAGTTTCTTTTCCATGACTTCTATCAACACTGTGTCATCTGCATGTTTTATAGTAGTTTAGATTGTGGCTGCCAATAATAGAATCTCTCAGAATCACCTCACTGTAAGTCCAGTGAGAAAACATATCCTTGTCTTATATCTACTGAACCCATATTTATTATTTATCAGTATGCAGATAGTTTGCTGCTAGTATTAGTTCTTCTTGATATCCTTCCCAAATATGTCAAGGTTACTAAGCAGTTCCAACAGTTCTTTGTGACATACTTTATCAAACACTTTTGCATAATCTATAAAATGCAGGTACATGTTCTTCTGCATTTGTATTGCTCTTTCTGATATTATTCTGAGCATAAATATTGCATTCCTTGTTTCAATGTCTTTAATGATTCCACACTGTTCTTGTCCTATTCCTGGTCTGATTCTGATGTGCACTCTGGTCTTCAGAATTTGGATGATAAATATTTTGTTATGTCTCATTAGGCTGATTGTCCGATGGAGTTCATATTCGTTTGCATCTGGCTTCTTAGGCAGTACTGTGGAAATAGATCTAGTTAAGTTTTTCCAGTATATCACCACTGTTGTAGATTTCATTTATTATTTCTGTAATCTTGTCTATACTGAAATTGTCTAAGGTTGCCAGCATTTCTATTATGATTCCGTCTGGTCTTGCTACTTTGTTTCTGCTCAATTTGGCCAATGCTGGTTCCACTTCAGTTTTTAATATTTCCAGTCTGTTGATATTTCTGGGTGTTGCCAGTTGCTCCCTTTTGGAAGAGTTCTCCAATGTATGTGTCCTGTCTTTGGATCTTCTGCATCCTATTGCTGATCATGTCTTCTTGTCGTGTTAGTTCTCTTTTTTTCTTTTTTTTTTTTTATATGCATATCTGCAATATCTTTTGGCAGAACATTTTGGCTGTTAACTTTGAATTTTTGATGGGAACTGATAACAATAAGTTCTTCCAGGACATGGAATCAAACATGGTTCCTTTTGATGATCATTTGCATAGGGAGTGGCTCCATACCTTTCAGGAGGCCAGTTAGGCAATTCTTATGTACTGATGGGGACAAATGGCTAAATATTGATTGCTACACTTTCATATTATCACAATTAATGCTGGTAATTTATGTACAATGTTTTATTTGTAGATTAAATGACTTTTTGGACATAAGTATTTTTACAAATTTAAATAGTATTTATTAGTAATTTTGTTGCTATAGAAAAAAAATTCTTAAAGATTTTGACAAAAGAACATGGAAGATTTGAAAAAAAGAAAAGTTCTGTGATTCCTCAAAATTCAAATGGAAAGAAATCCTGCTCAAAGCTCTCCTCTATATTTATTTCATTTTTTTTTAAATTGTGTCACGAGTAGATGACAGGGCAGGATCAAAAATAAAGGCAAACTCTCAGTGAGATTTGAACTTACAGCAAAAAAACAAATAAAAATAAGTTTTAAAATAGTTAACAACTTACCAGAACAATTCATCAATGTGGTTCTAAAAGGACATATGCACCTTTTTTGCATATTTTTTTTCTAGACTGATATCTGTAAATTTGAAGTCATAATTTTAAAAAATATGGTAATAAGAAACATATTAGGCCATTTTCAAATTTTTTTTATTCTTTTATTTACAAAAAAATATGGTAATAAGAAACATATTAGGCCATTTTCAAATTTTTTTTATTCTTTTATTTACAATAATGTATAAGAGCCACTTGTAGAGGGTTACAAAGTAAGAAACGCCTAGAAGGGAAAGAGAAAGAAAAGAAATCCAATCTTAAACAGGAAATGTTCAAAAGAGCAGGAGGGGCGGAGGTTAGTGTAAATACAATGTGTGTATGTGCACACACTTTTAGGGAATTGACAGTATAAATTAAAACTTATTAAGTTCAAATATCCTGTATCAAAATTAAATCAAGCAGGGAATTAACATTATTTGAATTTCCCCACACCCACAAAAAAAAAAATGTACAAGAAGTGTGATGAGATATTTGACAAAAATTTTTACTTATTTTTACAAACTGTTTTGGCAAGCAAAAGATGGTTACACTGAAATAAAGTCATGTAAGGAATAAATAAGAAAATTAAACACATTCTTTTAGCATCACACAGACAAAAGGCTTGCATACAATTTCTGTCAAGTCTGGAGCGAGTTTAATAACATTTTTATTGCTGTAGTAAGGTAGTTATTGAAGAGCAGTTTATCTAAATTCTTGCTCACTCATTAACCAATATTTGGCAATAGAAGAAAATTCATGCTTTTACAAAAGGTATTAATACAAATATTGCATCGAATTTTCATGGAAACAACCCAAACCAGAAAGAGTAAATAGAATTTGCTTCTGAATCTCACCCAACTGCATAAACTTATGAGAATATTTTGGGTACAGTAGGGTTAATGTATGAACTATCAACACAGATTTTAAGTTTAAGTTACGTTGAAACTGATAAAATTTGAAATAAACTCAGGATGGAAAGGTTTATAATTTCAATTTGCAAAAACTATCTTTTTTCTATTTATAAAAATTATTTTTGAATCATTTGTTTCCGCTTGAAGCTTCGAAATTGGGAATAGAAAAATAGATATTCAAATAGAAAATGAAACAAAACATAGGTTATGAAGCTGTAAACTGTTTTCTGAATTTTTAGGATGAGATGATGTTATTTACAAGCCAACTAATATATTCATCTTTGTAATGTTTCAAACATTACTTCTTCAGGTGTCTGTCAGTTGCTGTAGCCTTCAAGGAATTTCAAACCGAGCCATTTATCAAATCCATGGGGATAAGTTGTTCTGTTCATGTCTAGGACTATCTCATCTTATTAGTACTGTTCAGTTATTTACTTGCCCTGTTCTGAGTATATCTGTATTATCTGGTCCAGGGATTAAACTCTATACTAAGTTATGATGGCCTTCTTGGTATGCCTAGCATTGACATAAATATTAATTAAAAAAGAACATTTTGCACCAGAAATTAATTAACACTGGGACAATACAAAAGAAAGTGGAAAAGGGGGGGGCCAAGCTTGATAACAAGGTTGCAGCAGAAGAGGAGGCAAGAAGACAATTAGGTTTAGGGTTATTAGTTCTAGCTTCAGGATTGTTTTAGAAGATTATAATGTTGGTTAGTTAATTTGGTGACATTGTGTTTGATTCTTAGGCTGGAATCTACTCTGACTCAGCTTAAACAAGATGAGCAATAACTGAACACGAGATATCCCTAGACATGAAATGAGAACAATCTATGTCTGTAGATTGAATAAAGGGTCCAATTCAAAATTACCTTAATGTTACTTGGATGGGCAGGCACCTAAAGCTGAAACATTGTGATTACACACAACAAAGATAAGGATATCGGTTCAACTGTAAATGAACATCTGTTTGGCTTTTTTTTTTTTTTTTTTAAACATTAATTTGAAAATTTTATTTGATATTAACATATTCAGTGCTTTTTTTTTTTTTTTGTGCTGACACATCAGTCAGGAATAGATGAAACTAAAATAATCTCTCTGTAAAGCAGTAATTTATCACAGGCAAAAATGGAAGCAAGGTGCACATTTACAAAAGGGGAATATCATGTAGTGATGTTTGGTACCAAAAGTGTTATTTAGAAAAAAATAAGGAAAATTTTCTGCCAGAAAATTCAATACAAAAAGTAAACATGTCTGTGTTTTTAAGACCTGACATTTCACTGACCTTTTTATCCTTATTCTTAAAAAAAAAAAAAAAGTGGGGGGAGTTAAGGATAAGCATCCAATGAAGTTAAATTTTTACTGGATTTTTTTTTTTTTTTATCTTTATGTAAAATAAGTGTCCTGGAATTATTTGATATCTTCATGATTTAATGGAAAAATTAGTCTATTCATGTTTTATCTTTTATTTTGGTTCCCTTAGCCACAAAATGAAGACAGACTTCCTTTTACATATGTTTTATTACAGTCAGATATATTTACAGGCTTTCAACACTAGACAAAAGAACAAACCTACATATCACTTTTGCCTGCTTGGTAGCTAAGAAAGTAGTCTATTTCTTAATGTATCTTAACTTCTTGTGTTGGACAGTCTTAATTAAAAGAGAGAGTATTCCAGTCAACAAGTTGATGATGCTAGAAGAGACTAATGCCTTATGGGAATTCACAATAGACCCTAGGGTCAGTGGTCACTGTGAAGAGCAGATAACTATGACTGCAGCTACCCAGACACATTTATAATAATTTTATTTTCTTTGTGTGTTAATAAGACTGTCTAGTCTTATTAATATATTAAGTGCCATCCATGACATAACTCATGGTCAGTGCCATAATAAAAACTGCCAATCAAGAGTTATATCATTTTTGTAGTCTTGCTATGAAGGCTACAACCACAATATTTTATTTTTAATACAAATAACTGTGACCTGGCATCTAAGTTAAGAATGAAGGAAAATTTATTGAAAAATCTAACACATAATCAAAGCATTTGAAAAGTAACAGAAGTGTACAATATTCAAATTTGGTGTTTAAATGGTGATGTGTGTGTGTGTGCACTTTTTTTTTTTTTTTTTTTTTTTTTTAAAGCAGTTAACTTTGTTTTCACAATCAACACAAAAGTAGTGTTTCTTGCTGTACTTTGTGTGTGTGTGTTTTTTTTTTTTTTCTTCTCAGTTGATGGTATAGCTTCTAAATAATGCTGTTTTCCACCATCAATTCATTCTTGGATGTTTTTTTATTATTTTCTAGTTGGTTGGGTTTTATGGCATATCAACCACTGTAGGTCATTTAATGCTAAATTTAGTTTATATATATATATATAATCAAATATATAGTACTAGTAAACATATAGCTGGCAACATTATTTTTGGATGTAGTTTATTGTCATACCCAGGACACAGATATATGATGGGAAAAATTGGGAGTGCACTATTTGCTCATAGCTGGGACCCTAACAGGTGCTACCACCTCGGGTCAGAGTGGACCTAACCAGCAATGAAGAGATGGTTCCACGCTTCCTCAAAACCTCCTGATCAGAGGCCTTGCTGTTGGATGTAGTTTATCGTCTTACCTAGGATGTATTTTCTAGTTGTTCACCAAGAAAACATTTCACAAATTGCTCACACAAAACAAGGTTTTTCTTATGATCAATTCATAAGAAGTTTTATTCCCTAAAGTGGCATTAAAACAATTTTCTATATGGGATAAAATGATCATTATATATAAATTAACTGCCTTCTCTTATGTCTGGTTTTGCTATTGGAAAATCTGGCATCCCCTAAGCACAGTGTACCATAGACATATCTGTCCCAACATCAGAAGCTATAATTTGACAGTAAATGCTCACTACTCTACAATCACCATCAATAACCAGTATTTAAAAAGATAGCATGTCAATCAATCTACTTGACTCCTTTACAAAAGGCAGTCGCCAAGATGTTTAATCCCCCTTATTACTGCTGTCATCTAAAGAAAAGTTCCACTTGGACAGAACTGTTACATTTAAGAACAGACATCTGTGTGGTTGCTTTCCTGAATGTTACATTCTTAACTCCTTCAAGTCAAGGGTCAGTTGTTATCTAATCTCCTTATTCTCGTAATCTTTCCATGACAGTCTGTTTCATGCTCAATGCAGATAATAGTTTAGCAGACTATTATTTTTAGGGTAAATGTATCTCCGCTCCAACTTCTGGAGGTTGACAGCTGGGTCAGATGTGAGCCATAATAGGGAAGTCCATTTTGATTGGCTGAGCTAGCATGAGAAAGAGATAGGTTTCAGTGAGTTGCTTGTTACCCAACAAGCAATTTAGAAGTGGTCTCTTTCATATCTGAAACAGCTCCCCAGTGAGGGTGGGAGACCCCATTGGATAGTTAGATAATGTACATGTCGACATGAGTAATAAAAATAGTTAAGTTAAAATTCTCTGTATTTGAAGTTTTTCATTGTTGAACCAAGAAATTTACTGATCGTCAACCGAGAGAAGACCACCCCCACCAGGGGCTATGCAACATCTGGATGTTGACTTCAGTGTCTACTTTTATATTTACATACACTATCCCTGATATTAACCACTTTAACCCATAAATATAGCATACCTTTAAACTATATTTTATATATCTGTATTAAACATTCTATGATGGACTGCTATGTGGAACTTTCTATTCTGTCTAATGTGGATACTATAAATGTCTATGTAATAATTTCATTTTTGTTTTTTCTAGGGAATACCTGGGCAAACAACTTGAAGGAAAAGAGCCTGTGAAAGCTCAGCCTGGAATGGCAGCTGTGAAGGGTTGAAACATGAAGACTTAAAAAATAACATTTGTTAAGTGATATATTCTTTTCTTGTGAATTGATTTCTTAAACCAGGGACCATTTTAGAATTGGACACAAATGTGTAGAAAGATTTATCGAAATAAAGAATGTTACATATATAAGGACTTGTAAAGGTGAGAGTAAAAAAGAAAATAGCAAGATGTTGCTTCTTTAATTTTGGTGGAAGTTATTTGAAGGATGATTCATTTGAAAGGACCTCTTTATTTAATTAACCAACCAGATATTTGTTATCGTTGTTGTTATTAAAGGATTGTGATTGGTTAAAAAAAAATGTAACCTACTTTGTTTATGTTCTGTTCCATGATTGGCCAGATTTTTCTTACCTCTGTCTCATAATAATTGTTACATTTTCATACACATTTTGTACACAAAATGTAACAACAATTATGAGACAAAAATAATCATTTTTTTTTTTTTTTTAATTAAAACTTGTAGCAAAGGTCTCTGCTTTATTATTTTCTTTTTTTTTTTCAATTTGAATTAAATCAGACAATACTTGTTTATGTCATTCTCATGTATATTACATGGTCTATGCATTTTAATACATTTTCAACTAGTAGCAGATATTTTTGTATTGTAACTATTTACACTATTTGGAATGTTTATTGTCATATTCACAATGTTTTGGCCGTTGTATGCTTTGACCATCTTCAGGTGATATACATTAGCATCTCAATACGAACCCTTTATTTAGTCCCCTGGGGTAGGTTGTTCTAGTTCCACATGCCAAACCTTTTTCTGGATATCTCAGTTTTAAGTTAATTCCCTTTAGTAACTTAATTTTTTTTTTTTTTGTTCACCTCTGCTGTGTGGCCAGGTATTGAACTCACAATTTTTCTTATTTTTTATTTAATACATATTTTTTTTTTTATGGCTTATCAATACTTTGCAGCTTACTTAAAGCCAGAAAATATTTTTAGATTGTAAGAATTTTTTTTTTTTTTTTTTTTGTGAGATAATGATTTAGTGATAAAGTCTTACTAATTAACCCATAGCTGGGAGTGGAAGAGGTCATACCTTTCCCAAAGGGTATTTGCATGTAAGTGAATATAACGAACCCAACTGGTGTTTCAATGTAATGTAGCCTTAAGCCTGCTGTTGATTAAATAAATAATTGGAGAACAAGATATTTAATTGTAGGATTTGAACACAGCCCACTTTACAAATTGCAAGGCCCTGATTATAAATATTTCTTTTGTGGTGGGGGGTGGGTCACACATTCATAGTTAAAGTCTAAAGTTTTAGAGAAATGAAGATCATATAATGATAGTGAAGGTTAAAAATTCTCCCTCTACAAAGAACATCAGCCTATATAAGTGTGTGTGAAAACACTTAGTTGATTATAGATTACATACAGTCGTTGTCAGCACCCACTCACATTGGGATCATCATCCTTTTTCCCTATTCTCTTGTCTAATGCGAAGATTTTACAGTATTATCATTCACTTGCATTCTAGAGTTTCCCCTGCCTGAAGTGTACAATTTTAGCTCTTTAGTGGTGACAAACATACAAGATATATATACAGGGTGTATCACAATTGGGAGTGGGTTCTTCAAATGAAAACAATGTCAAAAGTCCACATAACAAAAACAAAGGATTTGTGAACGTATGTTTAAGTTTAAACAAAGTTTATGGTGCTGTGTTGCCATGTAGACTAGGTTACAACATGACGATAAGCAGCAGCAGCAAAAGTTGGATGACTGTCTGGAAACCCAATCTCATGCAGCCTTGTGTCCATTACCATTTGCACGACTGCATGTAAAAACCATATCTGCCTGCTCATGATATGAATGTCCTGGCATTGTTAAATGAAACACTTCTCAGTTAACTCCCTACTACACACATTAAATGTTGAAGACACTAACCACAAATGTACATGAATGACAAATGTAACCTCGTTTACATGGCAACACAGCGCTATCTACCGTAAAATTTCTTTAAACTTAACTCAAAAACGAAGGATGTGCGGACATATATTTTATATGGACTTTTGTCCTTGTTTTGGTATGAGGAACCCGCCCCCAAAGTTTGTAAAAGTATTTTGATACAGTTAGGCCTGTTAATAAAATCTGAGGATAATATACAAAAACTGATAAATTATGAATTAAAAGTACAATGTGTTTTTTGTTTTTCTTTTTAAATAGGGTCTATAAACAAGTTATCTTTTTTTTTTAATATAGTAAAAAGTTTTTGAAGTTTTCCTGATTTAGAAAAAAAGTAACGTCTTCGTTTTTTTTTTTTAACATATCCCCATTTTTATTAAAAAAAACATAAATAAACACAATTGTATTTTTATTTCACAATTTACCAATGAGGAGTTATAAATACCACGTTAACAGAAACACGGAAAAAACCTGGCATCATACGGGCATTAGATTCTGAAAAATGGATAAATATTAAGAATTAATGGGTGTACGAATAATTTCGTCGTTGACTGACTCTCTCATTATATATATATATATATATATATATATATATATATATATATATATATATATATATAAATAAATAAACGTTAAAGGGGCTAATGTGCATTGTAATATTGTATTCCTTTTGGGGAGAGTCGGCAAAAACACTAGCTACGCCACTGGACAGAATCGGACCCTAAATAAATTTTACTTAAATTTAATATAAATCTTGATATTTCCGATGTTTATGGGATTGGGGGTAGGTGGGTAGCACAACATTCTGTGAATATATTACATGCCTATCACAGTACATCAGTCATCCAAAACAGCAACGCTCGACATGAATAAGAAAAGATACTGCAATTGTGTCAGACTCCACTCACCTCAACATATAAATATTGGATGAGAATGAATTGGAATACATCAGGACTTTTGATCGATGTTTCTTTCTTATAGAATAGGGACTGTGAGGAAAAACGGATCTATTATGCAGAAAGATATAGTAGAAATTTGCAAGACCTATAAGGAAAGAAGTCTTGGAGAATTTAACGCACAATACAAGAACAAGAGCAGCCGGTGAATGCAAGAAGTATCCTACTAAAAAAGTATTAAGATACAGAAATAAAGAAAATAGTCCTAGATTGTTATGTAACATCTAATTTCGTATATGGCAGAAATTACTGACAAATGCTGAAAATACCATGGACAAGATATGTGAGAAACGAGGAAGTTTTTAAAGAAAAAAGGAACTACAAAAAAACTGGTAATTACAATCACAAAAGGACAGTTGAAGTTTCTGGGGTACATCGTGAGGAAAGATGGCTGGGAGAATCCGACACTCATAGGATATTGAAGGCAAGAGAACCAATATTAACAGAGAATAACATAGTTTGAGTTCCAGTGAATGGATAGTAAGTAGGGATGTTAAAGGATAAAAAAGAGGAACAAAAAAAAAGTGTAGAGCCATGAACGTCCATGTCATGAAAGGAGATGGCATTTAAAAGTATTAAAACCCACAGGGCATGTTGAAGACAGGAGTCCAGAGAAACATGGTATGGGTGGGGGGACGTAGAATTACCTACTTTGAATTTTGAGTGAATGTATCTTGAAATTGGTCCCAACAAACGAAGGAACGCCAGAATTAGCCAAACACGTTTTCACAGACTGAATACGCAGTTCTTGAATTCTCCATAACAACTGTCATGACAGTCGAAAACACTGTTACTGATTTTAAAAAACAACTTCGGAAAGTTTACCAACTTTAATTCTGACTTAAAACAGTCGGAAAAACTTGGACGGACTCACAGACCTTGTCGGCATTATTCAACAAAACCTGTTTCAAAGAATTCTTGCTGCGTAAGTATATATATATATATATATATGAGAGAGAGAGAGAGAGAGAATTAATACAAATAAAAGTTTGTCAATTAGTTGATTGATGTTACCTTGAACATCCCAAATCCAGGGTTTCGTAGATGGAACCGTCCGTCCAATCTTCAGGAGATTTCAGCAATTGACTGCTTATATTTCTCGATTTTTCTTTTTTATGCATTTATCATTGATACAAGTTTTTTTTTTTTTTGCATTATTTTTGTACGCGTAGGTCCGCACCGTAAGTGCTGGTTTTAATAAAACTGCCCGATAACAGAGCTGAAATGTATACTAATAATAGACATAACTGACTTTCATGCATGTAGCAATCGCCAGGCACCTTTTTCTCTCTCATTATATATATATATATATATATATATATATATATATATATATATATATATATATATATATATATACCCACATAAACTACAGTTAATAATTACGTGTCGATATGTGGACTTTATTCACATTCGTACAGATAGAATAGATACGAACCAACGGAGTGAGAGAGATCATGATATACGCGTACTTATTTTGAGCGAGTATGTATTTATATACAAGTTTATGCACACATACATAGGTAGCGCAAATATTTCGTAGCCTAACAAAGAAAAAGTATACAAAATCTTAGAACATCATTATACAATGAAAATATTTTTTGTGGGGGAAAATGCCTTTTTCATTGTTAGGTACATCAATTATTCTGTAACCTATCTACGTGCGTGTGTGTCTGCCTAAACTACATGTAAATACATGTGTGTTCATAATTGTTCAGAAATTGATATGGCAGCTCAATTCTACAACGAAATAAACAAATTTCACATCCAAACTCGAAGATTCAGGGGCAGAAAGAAATGACGAAATCCCGAATCGCAGGTCCAATGAAATACACCTAAACTGTCAGAGATCCACCGCATACGGCAACAGTCAATAGCAAGTCGACGGACGGGATAGTAAAATAAACTGCTTCCCAGTTCAAGAACAACCGCTTTTATCGACAAAACAATATTTTCATTGGTCGACAGTTGGAGAGGACAAACAATATTAGCATACTCGAGATGCATATATGGCAACAGCTGCGACTGACTTGTTTCTATTTTGTCTTCGGCATATCGTACAGAACACATGTGCCCTTTTTCTCGGTAAGTGACTTTCTATTTCACCACAATAATATGCAA